ATAAGGCTTTTATCTTCTTTTCTATCAAAATCGGTTACGATCCAATGCATGACCGGTTTCTGTATCCACTCAAAAGTGCAAGGCTTAGTATTAGTTTTTTTATATATATATATTTCATTGACTAAGTTTACAAAACAACCAGGTCACATCCTTGACTATTTATGCTAAAGTTATCTCTTCTTTAAGATTGTTAGGAATGATGTCATGGTGACATCAAAACGCATAGCATTCTCCAGCATTTCCTTTACTTATTGCGACATGGAATGCAAGTGGACGTACATGTGTTTGATAACCTAGATGTACATGTATTCGAAAAACTGTTATAATTAATTCATTTCCCTAAAGTACTTAAAATTAGTAATAATAAGCGCAATCTATGTTATATTCTATTCTTTGGTATTACATTATAAGAAAAAAAAAACTGTGAGACATTCAATTAAAAAAGGATTTTTTAAAATATTTGGAATGAAAGGACAAAATTCAAACAATTACAAAATATACCAGCTCTTTGGAGATTCCTCTGGATTTTTGGTTTTGGGATTTTGTCTCAATCTGATTGCCTTGTCTTTCAATCTCATTGGATTTGTGACACCTTATTGGGTCAAGGCTACTTCAACCAACTCAATGACCTACATTTTTGGACTATGGAAGTTTTGTAAGAAATCAAAAGATGTTCAATTCTGTGAAGATTTACAAAAAGCAAAAGGTAATTTATAAATGAACTTTTTAAGTCATACACGTATCGGAAGTAAGAAGAAATATCTTTCTTTCTTTTTTATAAATTTAGCATTTTTTGTAAATTAAGAATCATAATTATCACGAAGTCGACTTATGACTTTTGTTTCAGACTGGTTTCGTATAATTCAGGGAACAGCGTCCGTTGGCTTCGGCTGCCTGTTGTTCGCTTCGTTACTTTTATTCATCTATATTTTTATTTTGAGGAAAGGAAACAAATTAATTGTTTTGAGCTGTATTTGCTTAACAAGTATTGCCGGTAAGTTCTGATATTTTTCTTTTTTAATAAATGGAAGACGTTCCAAAAAAGTTACCAAAATCTAGAAATATGCTGCCTAATATCTTAAGGATTTTCCGTTACATTTGATTTTATACCATTTGGTGTTTTTTCCTTTATCTAATTTCATATAATCGTTCCTGTAGGGAATATTTTACAATCTTATTCTTTTTGCATAACGTTTAGAGCAAGCAAATTCTAAGCGTTTCAAAGGAGAAAGATATTTGTGCAATTCAATTCATTAAATAATAGACATTTATAAACTTAAACATCCTAACGCAGTTTGATATATAGAATAGATAATATTAAGATATATAATACATTTTCGATCCAACAATTTTTCTTTTAACAATTACTTATTGTGTGTCTTAATTAATAACAGGACATTGAACTAAAAAATAAAAATTAAATGAATGTATTCCATAAATGTGTCGTCTCGGTTGACCGATTTTCGCGATGTTGATTTTTCTTCAATGCAGTAATCATCAATAGAGTATCCTATAGGCGGTTTTACCTTAATGAGGTGTGATTTACTTTATTCAACAAAAAATGTACACAATTTATCAAGTAAAGCAGATCATAATTTTTAATGTTAGCATTAATCATATCTCATTATGTAAAAAGAGTCACTTTGTTATTAAATCTCGTATTTGTATAGCTAGAAAAGATAAGGAAAGTTTAATATGCAATAGATATTTTTTGTGTTTTAAGGGGGAAAATCGTAATTTCTACGAAGAATATTTTTAATACATTGTAATCATATCATTCGATAACTTTTTTTTTTTTTAGACTTAATGCAATTAAGATTCATTCAGAGCCATTCTTATTCCTTACTTGTGTTAAACGTTTTCTCACATTAACCTTATGTTCTATTTACCTTTCAATTTTTAATATGCATTCCTTAGATAATGGGGGTCATGAAAACTTGAACATTAAAACGATCGAAAGAAGTTTTATTTCACGGTAAACGTTTTATAATAAAACATCGCCTGGTTTGTTCACTCTTTCAGCCATCTTCATATGCATCACGATAATGGCCTTTGGTGGAGCAAAGATGGAGGATATGTTATCCCTAGGAGATGTAGCTTTTTCTGAACATCTTCATTTCTCCTACGGTTTTGATGCTGCCAGTATGATCATTTGTACCGTGGCTGCTGTCTCACTTGTATTTGATTTTAAATACGGATGAGATTTGGGGAACACATGTAATTGTGTCCTTATTAATTATTGGTGAACGTTTATTCTGGTTTGAAGGTTGCAAAATGAGCTTCAGTAGTTTACAAATAAAAAGAAATTAAAACATCTTATTTATTTTATACCTTTAATATCATTTGCTGGAGTTTTGTTTTTATACTTAATTCATCCACAAAATATTCGATCTACTTCAAAAAATAATTTGCAAGGGGCTCACTATGGGTGTGATCTGACAACAACGTATGAAAAATATGAGAAAATATGATTATAAGTCCTCCTGAGCACCCCATTTAACCTTCGGAATATTTTATTCCTTATTTAGAAATTTTGCTTTCTTTGTAGACTTGTAGAGCTTGATCACTCTCTACTTTAATCTACATTTTAAAATGAATTTTAGTTAAACAAAATTAATGTGTATCTACTGATTAAAGTAGAAATTATAGTACAAATTTACTAAAATGTTTTTAAAATATCTAAGGTTAAGCTATAACAAGATGGAATTCAACTGTAATCTTTTACAAAACGTAAAAAAAAGACCTTTTTTTAAAAACCGGTGCTCTACGCTAAATTTCTAAAGTTTCAGCAAAAAAAGGTGCCTTTGTGTTTAAATTTATTCAAGTTGTCTCGATTGAAAGAACTTGTTGGGAAAAAAACAATTGGTTGAAAAAGCTTTTCAAAGTTGAATCCACCTATATATCTAAACATAAAGGAACTCTCGTCAACCCGGATGTTTTGTTTACAATTTCTCGCTTATTATAATGTTAACGCTAGGTCTCATTCATTTAATTCATTTTAAAATGGCCCAGCCGCAATGAAGGCTAGTCGTGTCAATTTTTAGATAACCAATAGATTACCCCGATAATTTGTTTTAACATATTAGCACAATCAATTATTGTCACAATTATTGCGGGAACAAAAAAAAAAATGTTTGTTACATTTGGTAAAAATTTCCAAAGAGACAGAATGGTGTCAGTCTATTAATTGTTGCTTCACTTATTTGCAATTTGAATTATCCAATTATTTAAGTTAAATGAATTTGGATAAACCATCCCTTTTAAAATATTGCAAAGACCTATTTGTTTCAATTCATATACTTTGTTATAACAAAATTATTCACATTTAAAACATTCGTTTACCGTTATCGGTAAAAATATAGTGAGAAACTGTTTGAAGTTTCTTTTATATTAATTAATAACTGTAGTTAACCTTTTTTAACCATGAAAAGATAATCCCAGGGATGCATTGTGTTGTAAATTAATTTCCAATGTTTTGATTATATTTAATGCACTGTACCTAAATAAAAAGGAAAGGTTTCTGTAACCAGAAATGTTATTTCGAAACTAAAAGGGTTAAAAGTGGACAAACGTACAACCTTCCTGGTTTTAAGAGAAGATGCTAAGTCACTCATACTAGTACTAGTATTTGATATTCAGAGTTGTTAGATTTAAAAGTTACTGGTAATTGCGCATTATATAATTATCATGAATTAAACTAAGGCGTAGCCTGGCCTTATGGTACACTAATACAAAATATAACATTATTTTTCTGAACAATGAAAAAGTTAATAACAACTTTCAAAGATATTTCTCCATCAGATAATATGGATGCATTATTTTTTAATATTTTTCTACTTGTTTATAAGACAATGTCCAATCGAGTCTGTGCTACTACTTAAGAAACTTTCGAACATTTTTATGCGCCCGAATCGATAGATTCGGGGCGTATATTGTTTTTGTCTTGTCTGTTTGTCTGTCTGTCTGTTTGTTTGTCTGTCTGTTGTCAACTTTAACCTTCGTCATAACTTTTGAATAGTGAGAGATAGAGACTTCATATTTGGTATGCATACTTCACTAATTAAGCAATTTCACATGACACCAAGAACAAAGACCTTGTGACCTTGACTGTGACCTATATGCTAAAAATAGCTTTTTTAATGTTGCCATTACTTTTGAACAAAAGGAGTTAGAGTCTTCATATTTGGAATGCCTACTCCTATTATTAAGTTCTTTCAAATAACTTCAAGGTCAATAACCTTGTGACCTTGACTGTGATCTATATCCTAAAAATAGCCTTTTCGAACTTTCATCATCATTTTTTAACCATAGGAGATAGATACTTCATATTTGGTATGTATAATCCATTTATTTAATGCTTTCAAATGACATCAAAGACAATAATCGTGTGACCTTAACTGTGACGTATATGCTAAAAATTGCTTTTTCAAACTTTGTTGCCCCCCGGCGCATAGTGTTTCACAAACACATCTTGTTTTAAATTCAGAATTGACAAAAAAAGTCCATAATCTACTCAAACGATATGTGTGTGTCGAGAAAAAAGCCCACAGATATTATGCTATTTCAATGTCATATAAAAATATATATTTCAGGACAGATATCTGAGGAATTCTTACAAGATGTGACATATTTTCTCATTCTAGCAAAAGAGTAATAAATTTTGAATAATTTGAAATTGAAATCTGAAACTTAAATATTTCACGCTACCCTCTCTCTCTTTTACTCTCTCTCTCTCTCTTTCCCTATGTCAACAGACTTTTCTTTGCATTTGTATTCCGCTCATACGAAACTATTGTTTTCTGACTTATCTGGTTTTCAAGACATTGCATGTCAGCACGAATAGTTTAGCAATTGTCCATTCATTTAACACATTACCACGATATCATTGGTTTATTTGTTTGGGGAACAGTAACAGATTTTGGAGATCCTTGACAAGAAATACCATATTGACAACATTCCGGATATACACGTAGGAGAGCTGTTTATTAAAGGGCTACAAGAAGGAAGAGTAGCCAGAAGTGTTTTAGAGAATTCAAGTAAGAATAAGTAATTGATTTTGTCCATTTTATAGTAAAAATTTCAGTAATTTTTTTGTTGTAAAAACCAAACCTTTCCGCTTTACATTATATGGAAATTTATTAAGAGCGTTAATAATTCAATGAAAAAAGTATACTCAAAAACGTAGTATTATTTATGTAAATTAGACAAATGATGAAGAAAAGAAAAAGTTTACATACGATTACGAAAAAATGTCGAATTTTTAAATAGATATAGATACTGAAAAATTTTATCTTTGGTAGGTCAGGATGATCTTCGGAAATGCATCGGGTTTTCTCGTTTTGGGATTTTGTCTCAATCTCATCGCCTTCTCCCTGAACCTTATTGGATTTGCAACACCTTATTGGGTCAAGGCTACGTCACCAAGTTCCATTACATATATCTTCGGATTATGGAAGCTTTGTAAAAAATCTTCAGAGGAAACTGTTTGCCAAAGTACATTAAATGCACCAGGTAAGAATAAAACAATAAATAGTTCACTCCTCCATGGCACCTGATCCACCTCTGATGTTTTGGATGTCCGTGTTTGCTCCGCTCCTATTTTGTAGCATAGCACTTTTGAAAAAAAGTTTTCACATTATATAACAAATATAATATTTTTATCCACATGCCCTGGAAAACTGCTGAATCAAGCCGGATACAGTTATATTTCACCGGAAACAGTTATATTGCCCTCCCGAACACAGTTATGTTCCCTCGCTTGCAATCATTCTGCATATTAAATACGTCAGGTTTGAAATTCACAGCTAGGTAGCTGCTAAGCAAACGTAAACAGTTCCGCGAAAATTAAAAAGTCGGGACAATGTCTGTGATTTGTTAAGGAGTATATATAATAAGAGCCAATTTTGGCCCCCTAAAAATCAACATTTTTATATGACATTCAGATATGTTTAATTGGTATTTATTTTGTAGAAAAGATTATATTAGAAATATTTCCAATATATTTTTCACATTTATATGCACTCACTAGCTGTAAATGACATGAGAAATAATGCTATTTTTGCTATCTAACAAAAAAGCAAAAAATATGGCTTTTTCGTGATGTTTTTTTCTTATGGGAAACATAGAGCGCAGTGTAGAACATACATAATTTTTATGTCATTATTTAGTATTGGATAGATACATCCTTGGTAAAAATATAAAGCTTGTTCTCGGCTGCGCTCTATATTTTCTGGAAGAAAAACTGCTTAAAAATAATCAGTTTTATACAAAATATGCTAAAATGGCGGGAAAACGTGATTTTTATGATGTCATATTTCTAAAATAACGGCATTTTGATCAAAATGAAAATGACCAATAAAGGTCGCATATATATAGCTGTACAATTAAAGCTATATATAAAGTAAAATTAAGATATCCATTTTAAGGGGCCAATTGAGACACTTACCATATATCGCTCTTTGAATTCAGAGAAATTAGATTATTTAATTGAGGAGAAAAATTCTTTAAATACAACAAAGGTTATCAACACAAGTGTCAACATACTGAAAACATTCTGCCATGAAACAGACCGTGATATTTTGGAATTATACTCAACGTACATGTGTTCTATAGATATGTTCGATGATCGATTTGGGTACAATGTTTAAAAATGTTATATACCATATATTACATGGCTTAATTCTCGGGCAGCAATACCAGAATATTTGCCCCTTGGTGACGGGAAAGCCCTGGAGTGTTATGTCGCTCTCTGCCTTCGGACAGAACACTTTAGGGCTTTCCTGTCACCTTGGGGCAAATATTCTGGTATGCTGCCCTCGAAGCCATGTAATATCAAAGTCCACCCCAGCAGCACAAACTGGGAGCAGAGCAAACTCGGACCCAAAACAAAAATAGACATGACCAGACGTCAAATCAGAACATTCCTCTGTCTTACGCGTTCCTTACAACATTAGTACAAACCGAATATGATCTGACAAAATGTTTGAAAAAAGTCAATGAGAATTTGACCTAAAGATAGTTAGTATTTGCAGACAAGGCCTTCACATTGACCATGGAACTTACGAAATCATTATTACGATAAAACTATTTATATTCCCCTTTCTCCAAGTTAAGGAAGTCAAGCACTTTGCTAATTATTTATTTGTTTTGTTACATTCAGACTGGTTTAGATTAGTACAAAGTACTGGATCTATCGGATTTGGCTGCCTTCTTTTGGTGTCATCATTACTGTTCTTCTACGTGTTCATTCTAAGGAGAAGAAATACTATCATAGTTCTTATTTGCCTGTGTATAAATGTTATAGCAGGTAGGTTTGTAAAAGAATATTTTTTGAAAAAAATATCAAATTGTTTTTTTTTCTAATAGAGGATGGATTGTGAATTCTGTAGCAAATTCCTGTCTTGACATTTCTCTTAATTCAATATTTAATTTCTATCTACAGTATTTTACATGGATGTTTTAAGTAAAGTTATTATTCTAATATTTAATTTGACCCTCCATCTTAAATATTTCTTTTTTAATAAGTATACCCCCCCCCCCCAAAAAAAAAAAGAAAAAAAAAAAGAAAGAACAAAATTATTGATAATACAAAGAAAATATATAACAATCCGATATTTCAACATTTCATTGAAAGATCCAAAAGTATATCAATTTTTCGCTTTAATGTTTATTCTGTGATTAAACTGAAATGACAAATCTTTGACAAACATTAAAAGAACAAAAAGAATATATTTTAAAAGATTGCACATGTAAATAAACACACACGATACACGAAATTAAGCGTTTCTTTGTGTTTTCTCCTTTCAGCTATTAGTATCTTCATAGCCATAGTGACATTTGGAAGCTCTAATGTCCAGGAAACGTTTTCTATAGGTGACGTAGCCCTATCGGATGATCTACATTTCTCATTTGTTCTGACTGTCATAAGTATGGTCACATGTGCCGTTGCTGCCGGATGTTTAGTGTTTGATTACAAATACGGATGAAAACATTCCTTAACGTTTTGTTGTCAAAGTGTAATATATCTCTGAGGTACGAGGTAAAAATAAAAATTATATTTTTTCACCAATTTGAAATCATTGTTGTTGTTTTTTGTTTTTTTTATTTTCTAAAATCTTTTATAAGTCATAATAAGACAAAATAATTTATACTGCTTATTTTCATTTAAATTCAATGCTTTTTTTAGCAGTGTTAGTGAAAATAAATTTGAAAATGTAAGAAAAAACTTAAATAAAGAACAGAAGAATATATATGCTTAATGTATCTTTACGCCCTAATAAAGAAAATGAACTAGTTGTCAAGAACATTTTTATGCTTCATTGTTATGAAAGAGGTTTTTTTTTAATAGTTCATGAGGTTAATACCGTTATCGATTTTATTTTTATAAGCTTCTGGTAAAGCATTTTTAACACTTTTATAGACTCACATGCATTTTTGAAAACTTTCACTTCTTTCTAGCAGAGTACTCGTTCTTTGTTTATCTGTAAAATTCGTAGCGTAATATCCTGTCCTAAATCTTTCTTCTGATATTTTGTTATCTGATTCTTTTTTACATACATGTTTCTCTTCCAATGTAGAATCGTTTCTATTATTCTAGGACACATCAAATTATTTATCTTGAAACTTAAAATAAATAAACATTTATTTCATTAATTTTTTTTTATATAAAGTTATCAACCATCGTTGTTAAGTGTACCTGAAAGGTATTAGAAAATACATTACCAGGACAGGAAATATGATATATTAAATACAGAGGCGATATAAATGATGTGTTCCCGTTTTGCACACATTTGATAATTGGGTATAGAACAATAGGTGTGAAATGTGTTTTGATAACAATTATAGTCTGATTTCTGGTTAGTATTTACCTGAATTTACCTGTATTTTACCGATGTATCATGAACAGGAAAAATAAATATGAATTTGATGTATATGAATATTTATTGGGAAAAGTAAATTTATTGTATATTTTTATTTAATATCAATTATTATATGTAAAAATAACTTCTTGAAAAGCAAATAATTTTTAAAGTCGAAGATTCAGAAATTGACACCGATTAACCGATTACTATTCATAATTAACTATTTAGTATAAATTTCTATTTTGATATAAAAGTAAAGAAATAAATGAAAACTTGTAATGCACATGATTTTTGTTGGTTTAATTTCTAACTTTATTTTCAAATTCTCTCTTTTTGGTTCACCTTTCTCCCGTCTACCAACTTTGGTATAGACAATACCAATTAAGTGATTATCTCACCTGGTCAAATTCCCATTTTGCACACATTTTTTCTATGCCTCATATTCAAATGTGTGCAAAACGGGAACAAACCATTTAAATAAACACGCAAGAGTTTGTTTGTCAGGGATTAATATTTAAAATAAAATAGCAAAAACAATCCCCCCACACCCCCTCCCCCCAAAAAATAAAGCTAACGGATATGTCTATCGTCTTGCGTTTTAAACGAAAGGGATTTAAACTGCCCTAAACATTTTCACAATAGTAATATACTAGCATTTCTTCTGACAGTTTTCCCAAATGAAAAGTGGTGTGACCAAAAATAGAAAAGACCCCGCTAGTTTAAAAGGAAAAGATTTCAATTCAAATACTCAGATCAGGAATACATTGACAACATGAAATCATATTATTCGGGATATGACCAGGAAGTTGATAAAATTGACTATTTGAATTCTAAATAAATCACGGATAAAAGAATAACAATGAAAACAAAAAGTAGTTAAAATGTAAGATTTTTAAAGATATTTCCTTTGAGAATAATTATTGTAATATCGAGAAATGATTGCTCATGCTATCCGTGTAATGACAATAGGAATTACCACAATGATTCAAAAACATTTTGAAAACCCCATTGAACAGGATGTCAAATATAAAATTAATCAAAAAAAGGTGTCATTTCAGATATCTAATTTAAAGGGACAATCACAGTTATGCTCATTTTTTATGCAAAAGTAATTGAACTATATTCCAAAATGTGATATATTCATTAAAGAGAACTTATTTCATGAACACATGAGTTATAAAAATCAAAACTGATATTCTTGTCAAAATCGTAACGTATTTCTCTTTCAGTTATTTTCATCTGCATTGCTGTTATGAGGGCTGTTCCCCTTTTGCTCACATTTGAATTTCAGGCTTAGAAAAAATGTGTGCAAAACGGGAATTTGACCAGGTGAGATAATCAGTTAATTTGTATAGTCTGTACTTTAGTTGGTAGATAGGGAAAGGTGAACCTATAGGAGAGAACTGGAAAATAAAATTAGAAATTACAGCAGCACAAATTATTATGTGCATTACAAGTTTCAATCTTTAATTTTGTAACAAAAGAGACATTTATACTAAATAATCAATCATTAATGGTAATCGGTGTCAATTTCTGAGTTATCAACTTTAAAAATTATTCTTGGGGACGTAGACTTCGATGTTCGGTTTCACTACTCGTATGTTGTAGTTATCATTAGTATTGTAATGTGTTCCATATGTTCCATGGCAACTGGGTTCATTGTTTGTGACCTAAAAATGACCATAAATGCATCTATATTTGATGCATTCCTTCGTATATTAATACATAATACATCAATATATAAATATTTTGACAGATTTAGAACATATTTATATTTTTTACAGTGTGTGTCAGGTTACGCTTTCTCTTCATTTTATATGCAGTACATTGTTGTTTCGATATTTCAAATTGTTTTGTATTAAATATTTATATCAACCTTATAAGGTTATACATGAATAATAAAAGAATTTGCAAAAAAAAAAAAAAAAAAAATTTACTTTGTTGTCGAAATAAGAAGTGTACTTGTACTTCAAAATATTGATAATTATTTTAAAAAAAATCTAGAACACTGAATGATTATCCTCATCATTATTATATTAATTTACTCGAAAGTTAGTTATTTTCTTGATACTAAGGGGTATTTAACATTGAGGGACGTTCATCGTGCTAGGATCTGTCGTGTCAAGGGGATTCGATTTAAAGTGCATGTTTCTTTGAACGATATGGAAGAAACCTATCAAGCAGTAATGTGTATGTATTGCCAGGGTTTCAGAGCAACATGTTTATTGTAGGACCAAAGAATCAAACCGGTTGTCTGAGGCTGTTAAACTTAAGGCAATAGATTTGGTTCAATGACAAAATCTGCTGTCGAACATCTCTTTTTTTATGGCCGCTCAGTAAAAAATTAGAAATGTCATAATGCATGAATTTATAGAGGAATAAAAGTTTAAAGGTATACCGGGTAACAATGAAAACCGTGTTTTGCTTTTTAGAAAAAGAATGATGTTAATGAAACTTCATAGGTAATAATCCATTGCAGTTTGTGAATATCATCACATTGTCAGCGTCTTCACAACTGAACTTTCAGAAAGGTAACGTCTGAAATATCTAATCTCCTTCGCATCATACTTACCTGTTAGGGTTAACAATAGCTACTTATTCCCGGAATTTGCTACCACCGCCGAGTCAAATTTTATACACTCCCAAAACCCTAGCAGCGCCACCTACTTCCGCGCATGCTCATCTTCATTCTCGGCGCCATTAAAGAAAGTTGTTACCGAAATCGTGAAGAATATTTTCGATCGCGGCAGTGTTTCTTTTATGTTTCCACATGATGGGTAAAGATAAAGATAAAGAAAAACATGTGTCTAAAGGCTCTAAGGAGTCGGGGGAAGCTATTTCGCCCATAAAAGAGGCGAATGATACCAGAGTTCCTGGTAAGAGCCACACCACTAAGAATCCTGGTAAGGATTCTAAAAATGAAAAGACCTCATCGTCTCAACGACAATTTATTCCCCTTGTACCTGATTTCTCGGAGCCGGTAAACTCCGACGTCGTACCTGAAGTAAATTCTTCAGCGTATTTATCTAGACGTGAAGTCGATGCGATGTTTGAAACGAGATTTTCAGTGTTTGAAAATAAAATTATCAATCTTCTCTCTGTTGGTAATAAAGATTCTTCGGCAAGTAATAACGCCAAGTCAATGAACCCCCTTTAAATGTAATGGCTGATGATGACGATACTTGCAATTATTTAGACACATCGTCTCCAGACAAACTCCGCTCGTGGCAGAGTGAGCGTACTACTTGCACAAGTTCAAGACATGTTCCTCATGTACCTGACAGTGTAAATATAGCAGTTGAGGCACCTCTGCATGGTAATACAGCGGAGGAAGACGAGGAATTAGAATCGGTTCCAAAATCTTGGGACAATATGATTCACAATGTGCAAAATATACTTGGCATTGAAGCCAAAGAGCCTCAAGAGACGGCTAGAAAATCCTTTCTATCCCAGTCATTCTCTGGCCTGCGGTCCAGTAAAAAACAATCTGATGGGCCTAGTTTACCAGCAGATGGCATTATAGTTAATGCTTGGAAAGAGACTGAAAAGCCGTTGCCCAAAATAGCATCTTTTAAAAATCGTCACAGATATCAGTATAGATGGCCAGATGAAGACTTTGACAAGATAGGGAAGAGTCCAGATATAGATGCAACAGTCAGTACTTATATCAGTACTAATAAAGGACTCAAAAATGATCATGGTCTCAGAGAACTGTTTTCATCTGAACGTAAGGCCAACGCTGCTTTTTCAGCCATTGATCAAAGTTTAAGATTCCAACAGAGAGCCGTGTCTCATGCTTCTCTGATTCTATCGGCCTTGTCAAAAGGACTGAAAGGTGAATCTGAAATTTCAGATGAAGTGTTGTCTCAGTTACTAGGAGGATTGGTAAATTCTATTGTAGACATTGGGGACTTGTCAGTTAAAGCTTCGGCACGTTGTGTGCTTGCCAGACGCAATATTCACATAGATGCTATGAATATTCCAGATTCAGCAGTCAAAAATGAACTGTTAAAAGTGCCCTTGGAAGGGGACAAGTTGTTTGCTGGTCAGTTTCAGGAAATAACTCACAAATCATCAGAGATGATACGTGATGTACGAGAAACATCTAAAGCCTACGGCATAAAACTCAGTGGGCAGAAACGCCCTTTTTCTGAGAAATCTGATGCTAGTAAGCCTCCAGATAAAAAATTTAAACAATTGGACAAGTCGGGTAGTTTCGGGTCAAGTGGCAGAACTAGCGTATTAAGCAACTGGTACAGAAATTCAGATGAAAAGAAATCTGATAACTGTAGGCGTTCTGGTTGGAGTACCCAATCAAATTCTACATTTCAACCATCTAAGTTCCAAAAAAAGGGAAAATATTAGATGCCCCCAGCCAGTCATGGAAGCTACCAAAACCCAATATCAAAGCTGGAGGAAGACTCCAACATTTTGCTCAAAATTGGGAACAAATATCAAACGAAATTCATTCTCAGGGTCATATCATCAGGTTACAAAATCGAATTTTTAAAGAAGCCACCTTCCTTCACAGGCATCAGGCACACAGAAATTCCGAAGGATCCAGAAAAACGTAAAGTTATTCTGGAGGAAATAAAATCCCTATTAGAAAAAAATGCAATAGAAGTTGTATATCTCAAAGACTCAAATGCGGGGTTCTATTCAACAATTTTCATTGTTTCAAAACAATCGGGGAGATTTCGAGCAATTCTAAATTTGAGAAAATTAAACAGATTTATAAGAAATCAACATTTCAAAATGGAAACCTTAAGGTCAGTGATTCAGTCACTAAATATAGGGGACTGGGCCTTTTCTATAGATCTTTCAGATGCTTATCTGCACGTTCCTATCCATTTAGAAAGCAGAAAATATCTCAGGTTTGCTGTAGAGGGGAAAATATATCAGTATCGAGCGCTTCCCTTCGGAATTTCAGATGCCCCACGCTTGTTTACAAAAATAGTGTCAATTCAATTGCGCCACTTGCGCCAAAGAGGATTACATCCTCATGCGTATTTAGACGGCTGGCTCATCAAAAATCAAATTTATCATCAACTAAGAGCAGAAAAACACTTCATTTTAGAACAGACACTGAGTTTGGGTTTCATAGTAAATTGGGAAAAATCAAACCTACAATTGACTCAAAAACTGGTTTTTCTGGGTGCATTCATAGATTTGGAAAAAGGTTTGATTTTTCCAACTTCAGAACGTTACCACGCTTTGAGAGAATTGATTTATCTGTGCCAAAAATCAGAAAAGATTCAAGTATGAACACTTCTAAGACTGTGAGGAATAATGAATTCCTGCATAGATCTAGTACCTTGGGCAAGGTTACACATGAGGCCCATTCAACTCCATCTCCTGTTTTACTGGAAAATAATGGAAAAAAAATATTTTCCTAGAGATTCCCCTAACAGAACATGTGAAGGAGCACCTCAACTGGTGGAAAAACCAGGAAAATTTCTTCGGAGGGTTACCTCTAAGAAACAAATCAATCTCTCAAACCTTGGTAACAGATGCCTCCATGACAGGTTGGGGAGCGCATCTAGGTCAGATGCAAGTGTCAGGTGTTTGGTCAAGGGATCAAACTCAACTGCATATCAACTATTTAGAAATGATGGCAGTTTTCCTTGCACTAAAAAGCATTTCCAGGAAATACTGAAGGACCAAAGAGTGTTGGTCAAGACAGACAACACCACTGTTATGACTTATATCAAAAAGCAGGGGGGGGGGACACACTCTCCATCCCTATGCATTCTGGTCTGGAACATGTATCAGTGGGCTATAGACAACAATGTCATCTTAACTGCACAACACATAGCAGGGAAGGCCAACATACTTGCAGATCTTTTGTCTCGGAGATCAAAGATACTTCCAGCAGAGTGGATGCTAAACAAGACAGTTGCACAGACAATATTCAATATGTGGGACAGACCACAAGTAGACTTGTTTGCAACTCGATGGAATTGTCAAGTTCAGACCTTTGTGTCTCCGTTCCCAGACGAACTAGCTCTATCAGTGGATGCCTTGAGTCTCAGTTGGCAAGGGATAATAGGATATGCTTATCCCCCTGTTATTCTAATCCCAAAAGTATTGCAGAAAATTCGGTCATCAAACTGCATCATAATACTGATAGCCCTCTTTTGGACAAGACAACCATGGTTTTCAGAACTAGCTCAGCTACTTATAGATTACCCACTAAGGCTTCCAATGCTGCACAACTTGATAAGCCAGCGAGGAGGCAGGTTTCTACACCAAAACATAGAAATGTTAAAGCTGACAGCATGGAAATTATCCGCAAACAGTACATTAAGAAGGAGTTTTCTAGATCAGTGTCTAAGAGAGCATCAGCTTATAGACGAAACAGCACAAACAAAACATATAATAACAGACTCAGACTGTATTTTGATTGAGCCCAGGGAGAAAATATTGATCCCTTGCAAGCATCTGAACCTCAAATAGCTGATTTTCTTGAGTTTCTTTTCTCGGAAAGGAAACTACAAGCTAGAACTATTGCTGGCTATAAATCAGCAATTGCTGCTGTGCATCCAGGTTGGGATGGAATAACTGTTGGTCAGGCAGAAAGCTTGGAAAAACTTCTAAAAGCATATTTTATTGCTCATCCTCCAAAAAGGAGACTTATCCCAACATGGGATATAGGTTTTGTATTACAATGTTTATGTAAACATCCTTTTGAGCCATTAGGTCAGGTAGACTTAAATTTTTAACTTTGAAAACACTCTTTTTAGTGGCTGCTGCTTCAGGTAGAAGAGTTAGTTGCTTACATGCACTTACAGTTGATGAAGGACATATAAGATGGGATAGAGATGGTGTCTCTATTATACCATCACCTGAATTTTTAGCAAAAAATGACTCTTTGAATTACATGACAAACAAAATTACACTGCCAAAAACTATAATGCCATCTGCTGGTAAACTAGGCCCATCAGATTGTTTTTTACTGGACCGCAGGCCAGAGAATGACTGGGATAGAAAGGATTTTCTAGCCGTCTCTTGAGGCTTTTTGGCTTCAATGCCAAGTATATTTTGCACATTGTGAATCATATTGTCCCAAGATTTTGGAACCGATTCTAATTCCTCGTCTTCCTCCGCTGTATTACCATGCAGAGGTGCCTCAACTGCTATATTTACACTGTCAGGTACATGAGGAACATGTCTTGAACTTGTGCAAGTACGCTCACTCTGCCACGAGCGGAGTTTGTCTGGAGACGATGTGTCTAAATAACAGCAAGTATCGTCATCATCTGCCATTACATCTAAAAGGGGCTCATTGACTTCGCCGTTATTACTTGCCGAAGAATCTTTATGACCAACAGAGAGAAGATTGATAATTTTATTTTCAAACACTGAAAATCTCGTTTCAAACATCGCATCGACTTCACGTCTAGATAAATACGCTGAAGAATTTACTTCAGGTACGACGTCGGAGTTTACCGGCTCCGAGAAATCAGGTACAAGGGGAATAAATTGTCGTTGAGACGATGAGGTCTTTTCATTTTTAGAATCCTTACCAGGATTCTTAGTGGTGTGGCTCTTACCAGGAACTCTGGTATCATTCGCCTCTTTTATGGGCGAAATAGCTTCCCCCGACTCCTTAGAGCCTTTAGACACATGTTTTCTTTATCTTTATCTTTACCCATCATGTGGAAACATAAAAGAAACACTGCCGCGATCGAAAATATTCTTCACGATTTCGGTAACAACTTTCTTTAATGGCGCCGAGAATGAAGATGAGCATGCGCGGAAGTAGGTGGCGCTGTTTGGGTTTGGGGAGTGTATAAAATTTGACTCGGCGGTGGTAACAAAATCCGGGAATGAGTAGCTATTGTTAACTCTAACAGGTAAGTATGATGCTCGGAGATAATTATCTCAAAGGAAATTTATAATCTCCTTTCCACGCAAATATAGTGCTTCTTGAAAACACAAACTTTATTAATAAATGCACAAAAGTTTTCTATCAATATTTTATTAATCATTTAGAGATTGTGTTTTCAATCCTGTTTCATTCTCTCAGAGTATTCTTATACTTTTTCTTGCCAGGTTATTGATAACAAAAAAAAAAACAGTATTTTCTGTTAAAATAGGTATCCCTTTAAATCCTTATCACTCGAAAACTGTCAATCGCTGGTATAAAGGCATAAAAACGTATTTTACATATAAGTAAAATAAAAAGATCTTTTTCGATCAATAACATCAGAACGTATGTTTAAGATTCTTCAGTCCAGTTCATCACTAAACTATCAAATTAAGGAAATACTCGATAGATTTCACAAACATAATGATGCTCTGATGAGGGGGAAGAATCGTAACAGGAAAAGTTGTAGTAAACGTACGACGTTAAATGGATCTCTCCCGACGCGTTAGATTCAAAAAGAGGACATATATTCGGCATCAGTGTGCCATCATGGAATATCCACCGATCATTGATCTCTACACCCTGTACCCACATCTGGCTTGAATCGTCAGCAGCAAATCGTCCTGCAAGAACAAAGGATATGGAGATAACGAACAGTATTCAATATCAAACACCATAAAACAATACAAAATATGAGCAGAGCAATCACGGACCTCCAAAACATAAGAGATGGGATTAGGTACCATGGAGGAGTAAGCATCCCCTTCCGACCGGTCACGCCCACCGTGCGCTCCGAGAGATTTATGAGGAAAAATATTTTTCTAAACTATACTTGCAAACAAGTTTTTTTTTCAATTCAAAGAACGATACAAGTCTACTTATAGTCTTATGTGTAGTTAAATTGATGGTTGGAAGGTATGTTTTTTTTCCATATTGTGGATTTAGCTTTGAAAAGAATAAGCCCAGAAAATTCCTATTCATAAAATGTTAAAAAAAGAAAGAAATTGAATTTAAAAAATTAGAATATTCTGAGATGTGTTTCAAATAAAAATACCCAAAGTATATCCCAGCTTTGATTTTAAATGGACAGTGGAACATACCAATGTGGTCTTTAAAGATGTCGTACTTGTGAGAGGAATCAATCTTAACTAAATCTCCACCATCGGCTTGACAGTTTCCTACAGCCTCTGTGTAATTAGCTGATATTGATATGTATCGTAGGCAAATATTATAATGTGTGTAGTTATACATGGCATATGTAGATGGGCAGAGTGCTGAAACAAACAACAGAATTAGTGTATGTTTTTTTTTACATTCAATTCGTTGTTTTCTTTTTGAATTTATTTATTGATTAATGGATTATTACATTATTATAGCTACATATATTTTTTTTTATTTCAAAGATATTATAAGCATACCTCAACAGTCGTTAATACTACATGTATCCTTACATAAACAAATTTCCGATTTGATATTAGGCAAATATATATGAAATGTTGCCTGGCCATTGTATATGAATGAGCTCTTTCGGCAAAAATCTTTTGATACATTTACAAAAGTGATCTTAAATATACTTTAACCTAGCATCATTATATAAAGGATAATTAGTATTTCATCAATAAAAGTAAAGTATCGTTCTTTTTTGTTTTAAACTTTTTTTATAATCCCGTATTTTCTTCTCAACATTAATATATCAAAACTAATAAAACTTGGTGATTCGAAGCAAGGTATCAGGGAATTACATATATAATCCACTAGTGAGAGACAAACAAAAATCAATTATGGCTGTTAATCAGCGAGGAAAAGAGGTTTAGTTGAAAACATGAAAAACCATTTTCTTTTCAGAAGTTGAAATTACAAATCACAATAATATTTTTTTATACTTACGAGGCTTATACGATTTCCAGCTTGAATCATTTAAAACACTTCCAGGGGAATCTACACAGCACATGCAACGTCTTCTCAACACGTGATGACTAAACATATAAAACCTTTGAGATGTCTTTAAGCACTTTGAGAAGCAATGTAGACCGTTTCGTACAGCGTTGAACTCAAGACATGAATTCGTTGGGAAATCGAAAACCTTAACTGCATGCTTATAGTTAATAACATTAAAAACGGATGTTTTTAACACAATACCCAAACTCACAGAAGAGATGAAACATAATTTTAAAAACATTTCCATCGCCTTCAATATCTTTGATACGTTCACGATTTAATGTTCTCTTTGACCTTTTTGTTACTCAAATATTTATACATCCACAGATTGATTTAAAATCTCCATATCAAATTACATTTCAATGCATATTCTTTAATCATAATTATGCAGATTAGCCTTGTTTTATTGGAATTATTGACACATCGGCAAATAAAGACTGCTAAAGTCTAATTAAGTAGAGAAAGTTATTCATGACAGTGAGTGTCCAAATTCTGATAATTTTACTTTTCGCTAATGAAGGGTCAGTCAATTACGTTAATATTGATAACAGGATAATTTTTATCAGTTACAACAAGGTATGATAGAATATTTTTATTAAATCATGCAATGTTATTTAACTTCGATTAAAATGATAAATTTGAAGATATGACATAAAGATCAATCACAAAATTTCCCCCAAGATAATTAAAATATTTCAAAAGAGACCCATGTCAACTCCAAAGGTTGGATCAGGTACCAAGGAGGATTATGCTCCCTTTATTGACCGGTTACAGTGTATAATAGTCATGAGTTCTTTTGCTTTGATAGAACGAACGTTCAATAGTTAAATAAAAAAGGATCTACAATTAGAATCAACTAAAATACTACGAATTGAAATAATAGGTTTGTTTTTCAATAAGGTTCTTTTAAGGCCAAAATCGTGAATGTCTGTAGACTAACTTTTTAGAACCAGAATTGGTATGACGTCATTACCACTTTCAACTTTCCTTTTCCAGTACTTTACGGCTTAAATAGAATTGTGTAAAAAATAAAGTATTTTCTTGGAATTCAATTTGTATCACATGAAAATAAGTCCCGATAGCTATATTAAATTTGACATTATTTTAAAGAAGAGGCCAAAAACATACAAGCTACAGTTTTCTGAAAGACTGTAGGCAATCTGGATACACTTTCTTTGTCCGATATGGAAAAAAACCCCTCATATATTCATGACAATTTTTCATAGGAAATAACAGCTTAAAGTATGATTATTCATCTTGTTTACAAACAAAATATACCCAGAAAAACCTTCTTTGACCAAAGTTATAAAGCATCATTCAAGGAGATATTTCTTAAATTTGATAAATCTGTAAGCACCTTTCATGTACTAGATCCTGACCTTAACAACCGTGGAAGCTACAAAATGGTGAAAATTCTGTACTGATCCCTGCCTGTAATATCAGTTTATCCATAAGTACATGTAAATTGCATGATCATTTAAAAAAAAAACTTACTTAAAGCATGCTCATGAGTTCTAAAAACGTTGAGGAGACATACGAACCATATATAAGTGATAGTGGACATTTTTGCATAAGCAAGGAGAGGTAAAGATGACAAAACTGAAGTGATCTTGTTTGTCAAAAAAAATTAACTGGTCAGTATCTTCTCTTATCAGAAAAAAAAAATTAAAAAATGAAAGATTCTATTGTATTTTTTTAAAGTTTTACTTTCTAAAGGCTGATACACACATTCATTAGGTCTTCTTATTATACATGTAATGAATCGTTCAGTGTTCACATTCTAAAAATTTTTTTTATTTAAGTATATTGTTATTGATAACATTGTTAAAAGCGAATTAAACCTTGCCCTTTCTTGTAAGAAAAAAAAAATTAACAGACAGTAACCTAATAATTCTACCTAAGTTTTTAATGCCGTATTAAACAAAATTCTTTTTTTTCTCTCTGTCAAAATCAAAAGCACGAAATGCACTCATCTTATTCAGGAACAAAAAGGTTAAGCCAGAAATCAAAAACTCAATTAAAGAAGCCTTTAAATGTAAATTTGATATGAATTATTCATAAAATAAATCGTTATGCAGCATGTTTAGATATCTAATGTATAATGCTTATCATGAACGTATAATGCTTTATTCGTAACCTTTAATCAAACAACGAGAGACAAACATATTTATTGATATCCAAGGGACTCATTTAGAACAATCAAAATACTGATATTGTTATATGCTGTTACAATTTCACATACAAAGATATGTATATCGCACTGTGTATTAATTGACAGGTACATGTAATCAATATCATTTTTTGAGTATCTTACTTAATCAGAGAAATATACAACTTGAGTTCATGTAGGTTATAACAGTTACTCAATTTATTTGCAGAAGGTGTTTCAAAAGAATTTCCTTTGATCAAGGAATTTCGCTCTGGGTAATTAGAATAATAATTAGCAGGTAAAAATGATTTTCACCATGTGATGTATTTCAGAGTATACAAAAAATGGAAGAAAAATAAAAAATGTCTTACCTTTCAATTAGTATGTTGCAAGTAAGGTTCTTCATGGGCCCTTTATCGATAAATTTTCTAGCTCTTGCAGTTAAAAAATCAGTGCCATAGTTCCGCCACAGTTAAAATATTAGCGCCAAAGTAAGATTCTCATTTAAAGTCAAAATTACGTAAAAACATAGAACGAATCAATCAAATATGAAATAACAAAACTAATAAAACAAAGAATTGCTTACAAAATCTGTTTGGAGAAAAAAAGACGAAATGTGGGTGAAAAAAATGAAGTTTGATATCACAATGCAAAACAGAGGTTCGCCTTTGTTGCATGATATTTGCAAACTTATTGAAAGCTTTTCAGAATGACTCGCATCAATGCATTTTTTTTACAATAATTTTTTTTTTTTACATTATTACGATTTATTGATTTTCAAAAAAAAAAAAAAAACCCAAAAAACCCAAACATATCTATTAGACATTTCCTGAATTCGCGATCTCGAGCTCTTACTCGCAGATTAATATAAGGATCTTTGTCATGACTTGATTTTCATTTTGAATAGATATTCTCATTAACATTCAAAAGAAAATACCTGTATTTCGGAATATATAGCATCTAATATAGTCTTCGTGATTAATTTTCCATGTATGCATAACTTGTGTACACTGTGTACAATTACAAACGAGAACACCTTAATGAAATTCTGAAATAAATACGGTTAAATTGTATCCTTGTATATGTATTTTACATAACCTGTCATTTAATTTAGACAGTGAAATTTAATCATCCAGATACAACAACGAGGCCGATGAAAGCAATTTCGGTTGAAAGGGGGGGGGGTGCAAGCAAAATATTTTCACTTGGAAGGGGGTCTAAATATTTCCTGATAAGTCAGAAGATTTTATTATTAGGGTGACACAAAGATTTATTTTCATCCCAACGAACATTTATTTTTAAAAATTGTTGAACCATCGTATTAAAGAAAAACCCACGAAATTACGTTCCTACGAACAGGGAAAATTTTACTTGCCCACGAACATTGACCCCCACGAATTAAACTGATTCCACAGTATAACTTGTATATAATGACTTAGTGTACAAGCGGATACTTCTGATGGTGCTTACAGTATTATTATGGCTAAGAAAAAAAAAAGATTTGACAGTGGTGGATCTAGAGTAAACATTTCATGG